AGCATCGGCCCAGGACTGAAAGGTCCCAGGTTTGACTCCGGTCAAGGGCACATGCCCAGGTTGTGGGCTCGATCCCCAGTGGGGGGCATACAGGAGGCAACCGATCAATGATTCTCTCATAATTGATTTTTCTCTCTCTCTATCCCTTTCCATTCCTCTCTGAAATTAATAAAAATATTTTTTTAAAAAGTCAAATTTTCACTGTTGAATCTAATACTACAGGCCTGTAGAAGAGGGAACCATCAAACCAGGTGTTGGAAGGCGGCAGGAGAGATCAGGGAGCGCTCTTGAATAGCATCATATTAACCAGTGATGAGAAGAAGCATGTGTGCTGTATTGGGGAATAGTCAGAATCTGGATAATGAAATATCCTACAATATGTTGAAAGATTGACCAGCTACATAAATCATTCCAGCTAATGCCAAACACACACACACACACACACACACACACACACAGGCCATTTGGAATAGATCAATTTCCAATTAGGAAAAGAGACAGAAGAATTCCCTATAGCCTGATTGCTCATAGCTAATGGAGGGCTGCATCGTACTTTGCCTTCTCACCCCTTCCATCATGCCTGATCTCTTCTCTGACTTCCTGTTCTCTCCACACCCTCTCCCCTCAACAGGTACCAACACATCTCAGCTGGTGGAAGGTTTGAACCCCTCGGCTTCCAGCTTCTGCCCAACCCACTTCCCAGTGCTTCTGCCAGGAGAAGGCCCTGCCCGAACCCTCTGCCTCACTACCAGGAGAAGGCGCTAAAGCTGGCCTTGTTGCCAAGTGCGCCCCTGAGAAAGGACCTCGTGAAGAACTACCAAACCCTGATAAAGGACCGCATTGCCTTGCCCCTCCACCATCTCTCCCAGGCACAACCCAGGAAGAGAAAAAGAAGACCTGAACACACCTGGAAAAGCCTGCAGATGGGTGAGGACCACGGTGGGGACACAGACCCCCAGGCTCCAGGGTTCTCAAAAAATGTACCTTAAGCAGGAAGCCTTTGGGTGGCTCAAGGACTCTGGCTTCGTAGAATGGAGCCTCTTCAGCTCCTCCCCATCTTTGTAGCCCAGGCTCCTCAAGATTCTACTGAAACGCTAAATTGTTACGTCTTCCTTAGAGGACTCTCTCATAGCAAGTGGGAGGATTGGTGTGTGGGGGTGGGGGGAGGGAGACAAGGAGAGCAGGGAGAGCAGAGGGGGGTTCCCATTCCCAGGGACAGAATGAAAAGTGGGGGGAAAGACGGTGTGTGTGTGTGTGTGTGTGTGTGTGTGTGTGTGTGTGTGTAGGGTTGGGGGGAGGAGGGAAGACTGTAAGAAATGTGGGTAAAAAGTTCCAATCCCATAGCCCACTGGAACAAGACTGGGATTATCAGAGTACAGGAAGGTTTTTAGGCAAAAATAACCTCAATTCCACCCCTCCATGGACCATTTGATGTCTGGAAAAAGACCGGAGGTGACTCTGCTGGGTTGCAGGTCCTACGCAGGGTTTGGGGGAGCAGAGGTCAGGCCTAGGCTGGTGCTAGAGGATGGAAGAGTCAAGTTTGAGGTAGGCTGACCAGGCCTCCACAGAGGGACAGGAGTAGAACAAGGCAAAGGTCGGGGTGGTTCCCCCAGAGCATTAGGTTAGGGCCTGTGTGCTGCAGTTGACCCCAGATTCCTCAGCTCTTACAATGGGGCACCAAGGACAAGTGGCCTAAAGTGGAAGCAGGCAAACCACATCAGAAAGGTGCTGACCCAGGCTGGGTGGAGGTTGATGGGGGAGGGCCTGCAAGGGACCTAGTGGAGGTGGCAGGGGGGAGGCAGCTGGGAGGCTGCTGAAGAGTCACCTCGTCTCTTCTTGTCCCTGTCATACCCCAGGTTGCTGATCTTCCCCAACTGGGCTTCTCTTAGCCTTCTGTCCATTGCTTCTTTGTCTCCACTTTTCTCAAGCCCAGCAGGCACCAGGGAATCAAAACACCAGCAGGGTTCTAGCCCTGGTTAACCAACCACTAACCAGCTATGTGACCTTTGGGAAGGTCATTGTCCCCTCAGGCTTTCAGTTTTTTTCATGTGCACCTAGGTGGGACTAGGGTATAAATCAGTGGAATAAATAAAATCACATAAGCGAAATACCTGCAAAGTATCCGACACATTGTAGATTCTCCATAAATAAAGCTATAACCATTATTCCTAGAATAAAAGAAAAAAATGGGCAGAATATTACTCATCCATAAGAAGGAATGAAGTACTACCCCTGGCCTGGTAGCTCAGTTGGTTAGAACATTGTCCTGCTACACCAAGGTTATAGGTTCAATCCCCAGTCAGTACACATATAAGGATTAATCAAGGAATGCATAAATGAGTGGAACAACAACAACAACTCTCTCTCTCTCTCTCTCTCTCTCTCTCTCATTCTGTTTCTCTAAAATCAATCAATAAATTTTTTAAAAAAGGAATGAAGTACTGATTCATGCCACAGTGTAAATGAACCCTGAAAGCATGCTGCATGAAAGAAGCCAGAAAAGGCAGCCTGTTGTATGATTCCATTTATATGAAATATGTAGAATAGGCAAATCCATAGACAGAAGGTAAACTGACAGCTGCCAGGTGCTGGGGAGGAGAGAATGGGGACTGACTGCCTAATGGGCTCAGGGCTTTCTTTTGGGCTGAAAATATTTTGGAACTAGATAGAAGTGGTGGTTATACAGCATCATGAATGAATGAAATGCCACTGAATTATGTTCTTTAAAATGGTAAATTTGATGTGTATTTCATCTCAATTAAAAATAATTTTAGGCACTGGCCAATGTGGCTCAGCATTTAGAGCACTGGCCCACACACCCAAGGGTTACAGGTTCGATTCCAGGGCACATACCTGGGTTGCAGGTTCAATCCCCTAACCCTGTCAGGGTGTATGTGGGAGGCAACCAATCAATGTGTGTCTCTCACATCGATGTTTCTCTCTCTCCTTTACTCTCTCTAAAAATCAAAGGAAAATATCCTTGGTTGAGGATTAACAAGGAAAATAAATAAATAAATAACATAATAATAATTTTAGCCTTAACTGGGTGACTCTGATGATTAGAGCATCATCCACATACACCAGGGTTCTGGGTTTTATCCCCAGTCAGGGCACATACAAAAATCAACCAATGAATAATACATAAATAAATGGAACAACAAATCAATGTTTCTCTCTCTCAAAGCAATAAACAACTTTAAAAAATAATTTTAATAAATAGTGTGTGTGTAGAGAGTTTCCAAATTTCCTTATAGTTCCAAATCTATAATTCTATTCAACCGACTTTCTCTTTGCCACCTTTCTCCATGTTATGTGTATGGGGGTGGTTGGACAGAAGCCAGGGGTGAAGGAGAATCTCCTGAGTACTCCAGGGAAGTGGGAATATACTCATTCTCCCCTCCTTGGATTAGGAATGGTGGTAGAAAGGAGGAGGTCCCTTCACCTAGGAGTCTAACATGTCAGAGCTGAGGAGTCCATTAGAAAACAATTGTTTAGAAGGTAAACCAGGGCCTTTGGAGAAGCAACTTGCTCCAGGCTACAAAGACAGGCAGTCCCTGACCTCCTGCTACAATAGGAAACACAGGGCTCTGAACTAGGACTCCGGGGCCTATATTGTCATTCTGCTTCTTAGGCTACTTGCCCAAGACCCAGGGTTTTGTCATCTCCACAGTGAGAGGCCGGGGATATATAAAGGGTTAATATGAAGACTTAGGAGGTGGAAGGAAGGAGGCCATTGGAATTCTTCAGAGAAAGCCACCTACTCTCTGACCTGGAGCTGGTGAAGAGCAGAAAGGTAAGCTGACTCCTGCCTTGGCAGACCCAGACCACCCCAGAGGCTGCCAGCCTTATGGCAGGACTTCTACCCCACCCACCACTTGCCTACTCTGCTCTCTGGACAGTGCCTCCTTCCTGCTGGCAGGTGGACTACAACATTATCAGGGGCTGACTTGTCTAGTTGCCAGCCAGAGATGCGGAAGCAAGACTCCTTAAATTCCTGAATGCCACTAGGCCATGGAGATCTGGGAGATAGAATTAGCTTCTGTCCATATGTCCTCCAGGGCCTGAGGACTTCTGTAAGGCAATCCCCAGCTCAGCCTGCCAGCAACTGTGAACACCCCCACCTTCCCACATACACTGAATATGGAGTTCTTGAAAGCCTTTGGTGGGATGGAGTTGGGGATTCCTGTAACCCGGGTCTGTCTTAAAGACCTGTTCTCTCACCACAACTTTTTTCTTTTTCTTTTTTTCTAGAGAGGAAGGGAGAAGATGTAACTAGACAAACAATGGGTTTATGCTGCCTGTCACTACTCGAGCCAATTAAGCACAGACAGGGTTGAATCATATATGAGCATTTATTCCAATATTGATGGCAATATGGGAGAGCAGCAGGTTGTCCACAAAATCTGCTCTGCAGCCCACCATAAGCCAGCCCTTATATAGGTAGAAATACAAAGGGAAGTAGGCAAAAGGGCATATGGGCAGTTTACAGGTATGCAAAGGGAAGGGGATCTTCAAAGGGCTTAGTGATATGCAAGCGCTGGGGTTACATGGGGAAACAGCCAAAGGGTAGGCCAAATGGGCAGTTAACAGATAAGCAGGCTCCAGATTTGCAAAGGCCTGCAGGTATGCAAAAATGGGCTGGGGATTCTGATTTCTGGCTCTGGTTTCTGCAACAAATGAGCAGCTAGCTCCAAATGGGGAGGGCGGGCTGTATTTCCAGGTGAAACTCCCAGGTCCTGAGTGCAGCTGTCAGCCAAGTTAGAATGTGCCTTCTTTAATCAGAACAAAACAATCATGGTTAACAGAGCATGATTAATATTTCTTACAATACTAGCTGGTTCCCCAACATTCTATTTCTGCCCCCTTTCAGAGAGAAGAAAGATAGGAACATCAATGATGAGAATCATTGATTGACTGCCTCCAGCATGCCCCACAACCCGGGCATATGCCCTGATCAGGAATTGAACCGTCACTTCCTGGTTCACAGGTCAGTGCTCAACCCCTGAGCTGGCAGGGCTCTCACCACAACTTCTGAGAGTAGATCTGAGAGGGAGGTAGGAATGGCATCCCCTCCTCCATATCCCCAACATCCCCAGAACACCACTCCACAGAACTTTCTGTGTTCTGCTGAATGCCACCAGCTTCATAGACCCTAATTAATCCCAGCACAAAGGCTTTCAAAGCCACTTCTGGGTCAACACCTTCCCTTCCACAACCTCACTTTCCCTAAGCTCAGGATTAGCATCATGAGCTGGGTTGCTGAGTCCAGTTCAGGTTCCTGAATTGCTTAGGGCCTGAGGAATTGTTGGGGGTCAGAGAGTGTTGGAAGCTGTGGAGGCCGGGAAACCATGGGAGAGATTCAGGGCCAGCCACTTGGCCAATCATAATCTTCAGTCCTCATTCATCAAAAATCCCCATTGCTCCTGGCCGGTGTGGTCAGTGGTTGAGCATTGACCTATGAACCAGATCACAGTTCAATTCCCAGTCAGGGCATATTCCTGGCTTGCGGGCTCGATTCCCAGTGTAGGGCATTCAGGAGGTAGATCAATGATTGTCTCTCATCATTGATGTTTCTATCTCTCCTTCTCCCTTCCTCTCTGAAGTCAATAAAAATACATTTTTAAAAAAATCCACATCCTAGCCGGTTTTGCTCAGTGGATAGAGCGTTGGCCTGTGGACAGAAGGGTCCCAGGTTTGATTCCGGTCAAGGGCACATGCCCGGGTTGAGGGCTAGGACCCCAGTAGGGGGCAATCATACAGGAGGCAGCTGACCAATGATTATCTTTCATCATCATTGATGTTTCTCTCTCTCTCTCTCCCTCTCCCTTCCTCTCTGAAATCAATAAAAATATATATTTAACTTTTAAAA